TCATTTTCTTTTCTATTTAAGGACTTTACCTGGGAGCCAGTGAGGGTCTGGGAAATTCTGTGACCCAGAGAGGTAGGACTAACAGCACTCAGAAGCTATGAGTGAAGCAGAGCAAAACATGTGTGTGCTCCCCTTGCTTGCTGGGTATAAAATGTAAAAGTCCTTGAGACCAAAGCCTGACCCATAGACAAACTAGACTTGGCTGTCTGTCATAAATGCACCTGGGTGCACTACTTTCAGGAAAGGGGGTTAAAAAATACTGGAGACAAACATCATCTTCCTTGCAATTTTGCAGTTGCCATTTTGAGGACTAAGACTTCCCTTCCTTCCTCTACCCATTGACCTATCCCCTAAACATTTATTGAGTATCTACACTATGTCAACTTACCACTAGCACAGGAGATGCAAAGACAGATAAGATACCATCCAGTAACTCAAAGTCAGGTTGGAGAATTAGACAATATGGACTCTAGAAGTTTCCAGGTACTTTTTCCCCCAATATTCCCAGAGTAGGATTATTCTACATATTACTTCAGTAAAACTAAGGTCAATCAAGGCCCTCTGGGTCTCCAAATACATTGTTACAATAACCTGAGAGAATGCAGATTACCTAGATTTAGAGACTGTTCCTTCAATAGCCCTTTAACAGAGAAACCTATTTTAAGATAGAGCAAACATTTAGGGAATGTTTTCTCATGTTAAGTCATCCCTCCTTGACATATGAAATTCCCTTTCTATATCACTGATACCTCAAGCCCCATGTCATTTCTTAGCACAGGATATAAATCTCCAATTTATCCCCTTTACTTTAGAAGTTACAACCATGTAAATTCTCCATGTGTAGTTATTAAATTTGACCTTTTATTCTACTGATGTGCCTGGTATTAATTTGTTTGCTCCCATCAGTCCCAGAAGAATAGGGGAATTTTCTCCTATAACTAACACCAGCCTTTTGCCTCTTAAAGAGAGCTGTTACAAAATGATATGGAAATTATTTTAAGAAATGAAAAATGTCTTAATTAGAATCTAGAGGATGAAAAAACATCAATGATAGAGAATAAAAGAATACGTTCCAGAAGGGATGTAGGGTTTTTAAAACCAAGCATTTCACTCTTCCTGACTGATTTATCATGCTACTCACACCCACCTCTGTGTGGTAGGGAGAAAGTTACTGCCATCCTACTCAAGAATCTTGCAGTTCAAATTGTGGGCTAAATACCAGGACCATCCCCATCACCTAATTCTTAGAAATGCAAAATTTCAGGCCTCCTCAAGATCTTCCCACTGAGAAGCTACAGTTTTATATGTCCAGATGATTCATAGACAGATGAACTACTGAAAAGCATTGTCCTAGAAGAAGAGGGTCTCATCTCTAGAAATAATTTTCCACCAAGTCCGGATCCCTCACCCAAAAAGGACAATATTCATTATGTACATAGAACAGTCCCCAACACTTCTGTTGTCTGAATCTCTTTATGCTCTTAAAAATTATTAAAGACACAAGGAGTGTTCTGTGAGTTATAGCTATCAACATTTCCATACTAGAAATTATAATGGTGAAATATTTCTTAGTCTATTTAAAAATAATAAGTCTATATAACAGTCACTATGCAAAATCACCATCTTTTCAAAAAAAATGGATTTACACATTGGCAAACATTTTTAACATCTGGTTTAATAGAAGGCATATGGATTCTCCTGTGAATTCATGCAGCCTTGGAAACAGGAGGGAAGGTGCTTTACCACTTCCTACCCAAAGCTATAGACATTCTGTATAAAGAGCATGATGAATAAGAATCTCTAGGATCCTTTCAACCATCAGATAAAATATCTGATAATTAATAAATATGTCCTGAGCTTGGAATTATTTAATTAAAAAGAATAAAAATGATCCCTATCTTTAACTCCTAAGAATCCTAGCTAGTAGTTGGCACACATGTTAAAGAGATCTCAAAAAAAAAAAAAAAAATAGGTTCTACACTTAAGATTGAAAGCACATTAAATTCTGTTCTGTGGGTTATTTCACTGAGCCTGAAGAATAGAACATTTTCTAATTTTATGAAATTTGAGAAATTTGAGATCCAGTGAGATATCCATTTATTAACATGTAAATCAATATACCAACTTCACCAGCATGTGGAAAGCATTTGGAGAGACACGTAGAGTGGTTAATATCATCTAATGTAATGAAGACAATAAAAATCACTAGAGACAAAACTGGGTTGGATTGGAAATATAGCCCTAGATTTCTCAGTGAGGTACCTTTCCACTGTGCACCTCTGGCCAACCCATACCCAAAAGCTCACCTCCCAACCCCTTTTCATATCTTTGAAGTTGTGGCTGTAAGACAGGAGCTACCTTCTGAAACAACTATTTTTGAAGTGTTTAACTTGGTTGTTGTAATGACTTTTTGTTCTCTAACAACAAAAAATTATTCGGGGAAGGGAACTCTCAGTATATGAATTCAGGTAAGAAGAGAGGTCTACTCCTGGATAATATTAGACTGAGAAATTGCCATACATAGTGACTAAGCCTACTGCTCATGATTTGTGAGTCTGGAAAGTCTTTTGGAGGGTATGATGCCACCCTCAGCATTTCAACCCACTGTCATCTAGTTCTTACCTCTGTGCCTTGTTCACCCTGTGTGACTCACTAGACTTCTTAAAAAATTCAAATACCTGTGCTTCTGTAGATATACCACTCCTCCCCTCATCACTCCACTGCTCCCCTCCATCACCACTCCTTCCACTTGTAGACAGAGGAACAAAATAGATAACCAGTGGTCAGCAAGCTCTGACAGTGGAAAGAGAGAGAAGGCCAAGAGCCACCTTATGCATGTCCAGCTATAGAACTTGTGAAGGCTCAGATTTACAAAATGAGTCATGAAGACACTATGGGAAAGCAAGTGTGTCTCCCTCTGCCCACCTAGGTCCATATGATTGGAAAATAATTAAACTGACAGAGAAATTAGTAAGAGAAAAGACAAGCTTGTGTTTGTCACACTGATGAAGACTTTTGCATAGAATGATGGAATAGATGATCTGCGCAGAGGCTCCAGGAATTTTGCAGTTTAAAAGGTCTGCAAGATTATCTACTTATGCATTGAAGACAGACCTTGCAGGGAGATAAGGCTGCCTCACACCTCCAGGACTACAATAGAGAATGCTGATTTCCTGATTTTAGGGAGAAAATTAGACCAAAAACAGAAAACAATTCTTGGCTCTTCTGTCTTTCAATTTCTTTCAAAATAATCAGCATGCCTATTAGGCACACCCTGGCAGCCTGTCTTTGGCCTTGACAGACCTAACCCTGAATAAGAGGGGCTTTTCTCTCATAAGATCTCCTCACTCATGGGAGCTTATGAGAAATGACCCTACCGTCACCTTAGCGGACAAGCCCCAAGTGTTGCCACCCCCTCGCTGAGGTGGCTACTACTAACAGTCACACCTTCCTCCCTCAGGAGGCTGTCCTCCCTGCCCTGCAGGCCCTTCCTTTAATCAAGAGCTGTTTCAAAGCTCTTCAGCTAAATCTTGAACCACGGGACTGGGCTTCTGCCTCAGCCAATTGGAATGCACACTGCCTCTGAGACTTCCTGAGACTCTCAGCTGCCGCATTACAAGTACATGAGACTCTTGCACATTTCATCTGTGAGCCACTTTATAAACATTAATTTATTAAGCCACCATCTCTCCTCACAAGTTCTGGGCTTCTACCTAGTGGACTTCATTCTCCCTTACCGTCCAGTTTATTCCAGGGGATGAGGAGGTCCTGGGGACCTCAAAGATCTTTTCTGGGTGCTTCAGGCCAAAACAATATCAAAGGCCTTTCAATAGCAGCCCCCACTTGATTAATGAGATGGAGGGGGGTGGTTTTAAATCCATGTTTACTTACAAGAGACTCAAGTGAGTTTCTCTCTCAAGGCCAAATTAGTAGAGAGATGAATGTAACTCCATAATTTAGTGTGGGCCATTCCATTGAGCTACAGCCCACGTGGCAAACCCACATTGCCACCTACTTTTTTTTTTTTTTTAACGGATTTTAGACAGGTCAGTTGCCTGTATTTTGTCTCTGGTACAAGCCAGAGGTGCAGAGGTGGTGAGAGGCTTCACCAGACACACTGCAGAGGGGAGCAGCGAGTGGGTCAGGAAAGGTCTGCCACACCATGTGGATCACCTCCAGGGCCAGGGATAGAACTAGCACTGAAGTGTCTGTGGCCAGCATGCAGTACTGCGTCCTAATCCCTACACTACCAGGAAGGACCCACACCTACTTTTAGAGAGAAAGCTTTATTAAACTACAGTCATACTACTCATTCATTAACTGGTTCTCCACAACAACTTTTGCACTGCAGTATCAGCTGAGCCATTGCTAAGGAGACCAGATGATGAACAATGTTCAGAAATAGTTACTATCAGACTCTACTGGAAAAGTTTGTTGGGGCTCTCCCTGGTGGCACAGGAGTTAAGCCTCAGTGCTATCATGGCTTTGGCCTTAGTTCAATCCCCAGTCAGGGAGTTGACCCACATGGCACAGCACACCTCTCCTGTCTTACCTGCTGCTCCCCTCAGGAGTGGATTTCAGTAGATGTTTCTGATGAACCCTCTCACCCTCACCTCTGGTCTATACCCAAGTCTTTGTATGTCTAAATAAAAATAAATCTTTAAAAAAAAGAAAAAGTTTGTTGGCCCTTGGTCTAGGGAACTTAGTTATTCTCCTCTTACATATCTCCTGAATATCTTTAATCAAATTCCTCTCCAGGCCTGTTCCCACTGAGGCTGAGTAACCTCCAAACTGAGCCATTGCCTTGGTTTGATTCTCCCATTGTTGAATATGCCCTAGCATTTAATATATTACTTTTGTCTCATGACAGCTGACTTCTTTGGCAGAAATAGTTTGTGTGAGTGGTAAAGTATCCTAGGTACAGGGCTCCATGCTGAGCCCTACATCCATTTATGGAGAATAAGTGAACTGACTTGAATTATGTGTCTTTTTATTTGCAGAGAGATCTCACAGAATGATGCCTTGGAAGTGATAGAGGCCAATGTGTTCTCCGACCTGCCAAAATTACATGAAATGTAAGCAAGAACCTGCCAGGTTTGCTTGTAACTTTTTGGGCAAGAAATAGCTTGAAGGTTCACTTATATTCCTGGAGGGCTGTCTCTGCTCAGTCCTCAAAGCCTGACAGTTTAAGATGTTGAGGGATCACTCACCTCAAGAGTTTCAAACAGTCATTTCCCAAACTATCCAGAGAAGACATTTTCTAATTTATGTGAAAAGCTTGTGAAGCTAGGGTAAATTAAGATTGTTACAATTTCTTAGAGAATGAACGTTACCTAGATTTAGGGACCTCTCCAAAGAGAGATTCTTTTATCAGAGAATCTATCTTCAGACACAGCAAAGGTTTTGGGCAATGACCTAGGTTGTAGTGCATGATATCATCCCATCTCATGTGATGCCTGTCCTTGCTCCTTGATGCCCTGGGCCCTTTAGCACAGGAAATAAACTCCCAATTGTCCCACTTACTTTACTATTGATAGCTATATAAATTCTCTGTGGGTATGTCATTAAATTGATATTTTCTTATTTTTTTATGTTAATTTATTTGTATAGCCTCAGAAGGGAAAATTTTCCCATTTTTGAGCAATGTCAAGATCAGTTCCAAAGCTGCCATCATGTGTCTCTCTGCCTGGAGATCTAGACATCATAAGCCCAAACCTGGTCTTATCTTGTTCCCTCCTTCCTGGTAATTTTTGCTCCGTAGACCTAAAAACCGTGTTCTGTAATCAGGAGCAAGTAGCTCCATCCCATCCTCTCGAAGTTATTCCAAGTCAGAGCCCAAAACAAGTGTCATGTGTTGGAGTTGAAAATGGGCAGTGTTAGCTTGAATACTAACTAGGATATAGACTGTCCATGATACCTTGGCCGAGAGATAAATTCATCCTGACTTAATTTTCTTATCTGTAAAACTGGAATAATGAAATTGCAAGCCTCATAGGATCACTGTGATGAATAAATGAGATAAATGTAAATTAGATCTAACACATCAACTGGCATAAAGTATTTCATAATGATCCTTGCTTCAACTCCTTCAACTAAATTTTCTGTCTCTTATTGACATTCTAGTTTTTCATACTTGTCAATACTCACATATGTCTGTTTCATACCTGTCAATGATATCAATGTAAAGACTCACAGAATGTCAAAATTAGAAGGAACTTTAGAAGCTGTCTGGTCCAGAATTTTCTAAAATATGTGTTTTGTATCATTAAATAATCAGGAAATTGTTTAAAAAAAAAGGAAAAACATTTTGTGGCCAAATAAAATTAGGAAATATTAAGCAAAAAAAGTTAGATAAATGTACTCACTAATGGGGAAAGTTCTCAGAGCCTGTAAAATGCAAATACACACTTGAAATCTCCGAGGATGGTGTATTACATGTTTCTCAATACATGTCACTGAAAAGGTTTCTTCTGTGAAGTACTGATTAACATCTCATAAAATTCCATGAACCAGAGTTAGGAAAGTTAATGAAGCACTTTCCTAATTTTACAAATGAGAAATGAAAGGCACAGAGAAGTCTTGAGGCTTATCTAAAGTCAACCAGCCAAATCCACAGTAGAATGAGAACTTCGCATCAGTAGGAAATACAGATGTGGACATATATACACATGTACATACATGTCTCCATACATGCTGTGTTTAGGAATTAGTGTCTCCATGCAGGCAGCTGCCCCTCCCACTTTCTGCCTCCCACCCTTAACTCTTCCTCATTGTCTCTAAATCTCTGCAACTGATTCCTCCTTCTTTCTACCCACTGCTTTCATGTTCCTTCCTTCTCTCACTACTTGGCCGTTCCATACCCTAGTTGGGAAGAGACCTGGCCGGGGCTTCAGAACTCACAGGGAATATCAGAGGAATGACCCAGAGGGCATCACATCTCTGCACAGGTCAAGCAGGCATCCTTCTATGCAGTTCAGTGGGCACTGGAGCTAATGGGATGGCCCTTTCATCTCTTCCCTGCCTGGAGAGGTGCTCACCCCCATGTAGCACTGACTGAAATGATTAATTGCCTGGTACTTGGATCTGGGTAGCTACAGGTTACAGCAACATAAAAGCTAATGAAACAGGGAGGAAGTAATTAACACAGAGCCTCTCTGCAAATATACATTGATCCAGCAAGATTGAGGAAAGGGCAGCCTCTCTCTGTTGGAATCCAAATGTGAACATGCTCACCTCCAGCGTATTGATCAGGACATAGTGCAGTTCAACGCAGGGCAGAAGTCACCACTTCCCACAAGCAGCCTCAGTCCAGAGCATGAAGGGAATTACAGGCACATTTTCAGCTACTGTCTGCTGGGATCTTATAGTCAAACCAGAGCCATCCACTATTGTCCCTGTCGCCAGCTCCCTAGTTCCGTGTCCTCCTTCCTCCCTTTTCTTCTTCTTGCCCTCCTTTGGTGTTTTTCAAGACCAGACAATAGTGACTTGTTTCCCATATTAGTTTTGCTCCTTTCCCCTTGGCCACCTGAGCCCCTGGAAGACACCCACTGCTCAAAGACGTAGCCATGCACGCCTAGAGTGACAGTAACTCACCCAGCCAGTGCTTCATTTGCCTGCATAGCCCGGTCCCAGAGGACTTTGGTGATGAGAGTTAAAGGGGACAGGGCTAATATTTAGTCTGCACAGTTTAGTCTAGGAAAAGCACTACATGCAAACTCAATATTTGTTGAAATACTGAGTGAATGATTTATTGATAGTCTTTGCATAATGTGAAAAATATTACAGTATTCCTTACTGCTAAGCTCACTTGCCCACTCTTCCTTTTTTACAGTAGAATTGAAAAGGCCAACAACTTGCTGTACATTGACCCTGAGGCTTTCCAGAACCTTCCCAACCTCCGATATCTGTAAGAACTTATGTATTCTAGTATCCCCTCTGATCAAATTGTGTGTTCCTATTTTAGCAAAATGTCCAACCACTGTTATCAAAGATGTAAAGCAGAAGTGGAGATGAGGACCCACTTGCAAGCAGATTTTAGTGTAGCTTAATGAGTGAATTTCACTAATATAATTGCATTTTGTTTTCATTTAAAAAACAGACTTCAGAAGGAATACCATTTGCATTAATAGAATTGTCACACAGACCTTAGAGAACTCAGTCATAATTTAGTGTTAATGAGATGCAGCCAGAACTTCTGCTGGCATTTAGCTTATGACCTTGACCTCAAAGACACAGTCTGTCTTGTACTGTGTATGTGCATTTTTCCTCTGACAGATGATAGTGTTCTGTAGTGTAAATTTCAGTTAATAAATCAACATAGCATTTTATCTACCTAGAGATTCCTATGGTTTGAATTCCATCCTGCCCCTGTCCCACCAGCAAAAACTTTGCTTCTTTCACTCAACTGGCATTCAAGTTATTGAGGACTTGCCAGACCGCCCCCTCTCCCCATCACTGCGATAGTGTTCTACAAAATAACAATTATGAATTAGGGCTCTGGAGTCAGATATTCTGGGTCCATTTACTAGCATCTAATCACAAGCAAAAATGCAACCTTCAAAAGTTTGCTTCCTCATCAAAAGAGTAGAAATAATGATGACGGATGTGTATGTGTTATCTTTCAGTATAACAATAATGTATCACCAATTAGCCTCAAAGAACAGTTTTAAAGTAAAAACTACACCTTTCACCTATCTAAATTGATCAGTGGAATGATTTTTGATGCTAGGGACTCTGAGCTAAGTATTCACGCCTCAGCAGTTAGTTGCATGTTAACAGGGGCCTGGCTGCTTGTGTGGTCTCAGCTAGGATGACAACTTTCCCCCAAATGGTGCTCATTTCCAGCAGGCTAGTGTGGACTTCTTTTCACAGTAGCCTCAAGGTTCCAAGAGATCTGAAGTTTGCAAGCCTTTGAGATCCAGACCCTGCACTAGCACACTATCTCTTCTGGTGCATTTTATCAGGCAGGAGAGCGAGAGAGAGACTGCATTTCCTCATGGAAAAATGCAGTCACAATATAGTCTGTGGGTACAGAACAGATACCATGTCTGCAAGCAATTTAAAGCATGTAAAAAGTTTTGCATATGTCTGTCACATCATAAATGCGCATTAAATAGTATCACTAGAACCTCATATGACTCTGTTCCTTAATTTTGGTCCATGAGGATTGGAGTTAGGAGTTGTTGACCTTATTTAATACAGAATTGGGCCATAATGAGCCTTAGGTCACTTAGTGGAGATTAACTGAAAGAATAAAGGATCTGAACAATGAGTAGTGGGGAAAATTTGGTGGAAAGAGAACTCGCACACACCGTTGGTGGGAATGTAAATTGGTGCAGCCATGTGGAGAACAGTAAGGGGATTCCTCAAAATAATAAGAATAAAAGTACCATATAGTTCAGCTACCTCACTTATGGATATCTCTCTGAAGAACAAAAAAAAAAACACTAACTGAAGAGGTAAATGCATCACCACATTCATCCCAGTATTTTTCATGCTATCTAAGAGTATCCAACAGCTTCTGGACAGTGAAGTATACAGAGAAGATCTGGTATATCCAGTGGAATATTGCAGAGCTATAAATACAAAGTCCTGCTACTTACAAGACCATGGATGGAATTCTAGAAGGTGTTATGCTTAGTAAAACAAATCAGATAAAGACAGACATCACATGAGTTCACTCACATGTGCTACAGACAGAACAAATGAACAAACAAGCAAACTTTTAGTTTGTGAGAACAAAATAGTGGTTTCTGAAAGAAAAGGGCAATAGAAATAAATCAAGTAAACATTCCAAACTGAAAGGGGTAGATGGAAACTAGAATTCTGGTGGCAAACAGATTTAGAAGTTTGATTTAAAAGGTTGTACACCCCAAACTTATGTTATAAATCAATGTTACTTCAGTTTAACAGGAGCGTTCATGACCTAGAACTTCTGCTCTCTGATAAGAGCCCCCAGTAGATTTAAGAAAAAAATAAGGTTATCCACTCCTGACTTAATGTCAGAGGCAGGACCAGCTTCATTGGCATGCAACCCGCAGTCACACAGGGTCCTGTGTTCACAGGCACCCCACATCAGAAGGCTTCACACTGGGTTTGATGCTGTCACCTTTGGAAGTACTTACATATTTTTGAACAAGCCTTGCATTTTTGCACTGCCCCCCACAAATTACAGGCCTAGATCAAGGCTATGTTCTCTTCTACTTTCAGACTTGGAGACTTGACTCCCAAGTGGATTTTACCATATTCTCTGCGGGACTTCCCTGTCTGTGTTAGGCACATTAAACAGTGGAGGAAGTCTGGGTTTGGGTTTCAGTGGGTCCTAGAATCAGAAACTGTTTCCCCTATTTGCTCCTAGACCCATTAGCAGATTCCAAGCAACACATGGCTGCTAGGTACGCTGAGGTTTATGTATGTGAAAAGTATTTTTGACAAAATATTTCACACTACAAAGTGCTCAAATAGTAACTATTTCTAGGACTGTTACTTCTGGCCAACCATTCTAACCACCAGCCTATCCTCAGGAAAAGCCAAATAATGGGTTGAGAAAACTTACTATAGTCACTTAGCCCCAGAGTATTCAGCATGAGGTCAGGAGGAGGAGTTCGGGACATGCCCTTACATTTAATAGAGTGTTATGCTTCAGAAAAAGGTGGAAAACTACAATGTGAGGTCTGGATTACAGATTGTATACTGACACAGCTACATAGCTACCTTCTTTAAGATAGTTTCTTAATCCATAAAGTGGGTGATTGTGAAAAAACAAGATTACACTCAAAAATATTTGAAAGTTGTATTTAGTATGCAGGCCATAAAGAATACAAATATCAAGTGACAGCATTTGTTACCTTTTTAACTACCTCATTCCTTTCCTCCCAAAAGCCATCCTTCCTTCCTCTTCCTTTATCCTTAGAGAAAGACTGAATGGGGAAATAAATAACTTTAAAAAAATCCTAATCAGCAGCATAAGCATTATTTTCAATCATTTTTTGCATAAAAAAAATTGCATGGGATATGAGTGCCCCAGAATCTTTAGTAACAGACAAAAGCATTTTCAAACATGCAACAAAAACCCCAATTCACAAACTATCCCATATTGCCCACTAAAAGCCCACCTGCAAATGACAGATCCAGGAAAACAGTGCCCCCTCAGACACACACTCACAGCCATGATAACAAGGACATGTTGTAAGGCTGGGCTGGGAGCCGGTGAATGGGGAGGAAAACTATGGTAAAGTTTGAAATCAACAGGTCCAGCATGTGGCTTCTATTTAGTGATGAGTACCATGCATTCTTACTGACAAGCATATTCAATACCCCCCCCATGGAAGAAGACTGGAAAAGAACTTGGGGGGACATAGAAGGCACATAGACTGGAGGAAGGGGGGAGAGCAGAGATCAGAGTGGTCAAAGCTATGGCCGACTCTGGAAGAGACGGAAGTCTGTGTCATTTGTCATGGAGGTTAGCCTCCCCTTTGTGTCCTTTTCTTATTCTGAGGGTTTGTAGTCCCCGGTCGCTCCTTTCCCAACTTTGCTCAAAAATGGAGGTGTCAGATTCTAGCTACATCCTTCCTAAGAAAAGGTTATTCTCAGAGCATTGAGGACTTCCTAATTAGGGGAAAGAAAAGATTTTGGAAGCAATTTGGAAGACACTCCTTGTTGCTCTGGAAACATTGCAACTACTTAATCTATAATGTACAAAGCTCCCATCCACTGCCATGCTCATCACTATCAGGATGTTGCAAGGAAGCAGTGTCTGTCAAGCAGTGTCTGTTGGAAGCTTTTTGATTTCTAGCTCAGGGTGGATCTTCCCTAGGGGAACACTACCACCACTATACCCCCTCCAACCCCCAGCTTCATATCTGGCTCACAGTACCTCAGGGAACAGAAGCATCTCTGCTCTCACTCCTACCAGCAATATATCTATCCAGATTGTGGGCCCTTGAAATATTTTCCAAACTAAGAGGAATCACCTACACTCATAGTTGGTCCTCTAATCTGAAAGATGATGTCATAGAAACATAGCTCAGTTCAGCATCCTCCTTCTGTGTCTGAACAGCGGTCATAAACAGCTTTGCGACCCACCAGCCAGGTAGAGGTGGATAGCAACGATTTCAGATATTCTTTGGAAAGATAAACTACTTGCTTCAAGGCAAAGAAAAAGCATAAAATGGATGATAGAATCCAGAGGGGAACAGTAGGATAAAGTAGTTCCCCCGCCCCCCTTTAGCCAGGATAAATTTTTATCATCCCACACACCAAAGCAAGACATTACCAGTTGTAGGAGTGAGTTGCTATTTGATTTGGGTATCTTAATTGTTACAAGGACACACTTAGAAACATTTTTAAATTCTTAGCATTGACTCCAATTCAGTGACCATTTGATGGTCCAGAATTCAGAAGAACTCGAAGTCATTGTTCTTGACCTCTGCCTTCAGACTTCACAAAGCAGTTTGGTTAAAAAAAAAAAAAAAACAAAGTAATGTACTTTAACTAGAAGAATATACTTCAAAGGAATCATCTGGGTGGATTTTTTCAGTCAATACTGTATTTGTAGACAATATTTCTTTCTTTATGGCTTTGCCTTCCAGAGCTGACCTTTGTGTATGAAAGACTATCTATTGATCTGTAAATAAGGTTTACACAATTTTCTCTTGCCTTTGCATCCTGTCAATGTAATTCTCAGGCAGTTGATATTGCTCTCTGCTACTCAATAAACCGTAATTCCATTTTAGCAAACCCCTCATGCAGCTGGATGGGCCCCACTTCCAACTAACAGCATTCTTCCACCCTCATGTGGCCTGGTGGGCCTTTCTAGAATGCCTGTGAATGACAGTCAAGCCACCTGCCTTCTCCAGGGATAGTTCCAGGAGATTTTTAGCAATTCAAGTTGTTTAGTCTCCAGCC